TTCGCTGGTGTTTCGTGTCGATCCCCACCTTCAGAAGATCCGCCTGTCCTTCACTTATAGAATTTTTCTAGGACCTCCTACCTCGCGTGGAATCCTCCTTTAATTATTCCAGAACTCCCAAGCAGAATAGGAGAAAGGAGTATTCAAAATAAAATCAAGTATTAGAGTTGATATGTTAGCAATATTGATACGAATTTCAGCGCCGGACCGTGAGCGTGTTATTCATTGCTCCTTTTCCCTCTACCATATTGAAACTAATTCACGACTTTTCAGTCGTTCAATGGCCCACAGACAGACAAAAACAAATAAGCCATTACGATACTGTATCCCTCCGGCAATCGGGCTACCTCATCAGTCACTACGGATAGAATGTCGTGACAGGCTTAGCTTGAACATCATCAGCAATTCCGATTCAGATGAGAATTGGATGGATTGGATCTCCCATGCTAGTGGAGAAAATAGCATAATTAGCTGAGATGAAACATACATATATGATCAGGTCAACTAACATCCATTGCAATTCAACAGGCTTTTTTGAAATGCAATAAAGTGGTTTGCTCCGATGGGCGGCTCATGATTGCTCTTTGGGTTATGAGTGTAGGAAAAACTGGCTTCAAAATGCCCCTGGCTTCTGCGTGGCAGACGGTAGAACTGAAATATTTATTCTTCAACAAATTTTCGGCAACATGCAAGCGAAAGGCGACGAAATTGCTTCCTGAAAACTATTTTGATTTTCAAGCGCTTAGTAATTTTCCTTGTAAATAGCACGGAACGACTTTTACAATTGTAGGTTCTATTTTGTGCAGGATTCTGCAACAGATGACATGCATAGCTTTTTCGAAATTTCTTGGAAATGATGTACTTCACTACCTCTACTTCCATATCTGCCAACAGTCGGCTGGCCTACAATGCTCACCATCAATTCACCGTTTCCAGACCTTTTTTGCTTTTCCCCCCATAGCGGTTTATTTCACTTTTCAACATTCATTTTCGAGCAAATTAGCCCTGTTTATGACAGTGAGAAGCGCCTTCAAATGAAATATCCCCTCCAAACGAATCCGCGTTTTCGTGCTCAACGAGACACTTCATACGGATTTCTGGATCAATCCCTTTATTTTCATGATGTGAGAGCTCAACGTAAGGATTTCCCCTTTAACCTCGCGGCTCTAATTGGTGGGGTGGGCACGCCCAGCTTTTCACGCATGTCAAGTGACTGCCCTCACCCCCCCCCACCCCCCCCTAGATTGGCTACACTCCCCCTGGCTCACGAATTCCCCGATTCTCGTGACAGTATAGTAGCGGGCAGCAGTCCCACTTACATACATTTCTGTTCAAAAAATGCGGCGTGCCCACCCTACTTGTATAGCACCGACCTCGCTTTACAGAAAACTACATGCATTCATCTCACAGCCGGTGTACGTGAACGTAAACTGAATTTGCTTTAAAGGCAAAAGTCGGGCTCAATAAGGGGGTATTATGGCGATTGAAACTGAGTATAGAGATGCGAAGTGGAACGACAGTGGAGAAAAAACTGAGAAAAACCGTCGACAAGGCCGTTAACAAAACCCTCTTTCCCACTAGAA